ATCTGCAGCTAATATCTATTCCTGATGTTGATATTTTGCAGATACATGTACATGTATCTTCTCTGGATATTGATATTTTGTAGAAATCTGTTTCTGATGCTTTGTAGACATCCTTTCCTGATATTTTGGAGATACTGTATTTGTTTCTGATATTTTGTAGATATCTATTCCTGATGTTGATGTTTTGTAGATATCTATTCCTGAGGTTATTTTGTGGATATTTTGTAGACATTTATTCCTGATGTGATATTTTGTAGATATCTATTCCTGAGTGTACTGAGTGACAAGGACAGGGAGAGGACACACATATTCAGCTCGTTCTTCTTTAAGCGTCTGACCCAGAGACAAGGTCGCTGTGGACCAGAGGACAACATGGCAGATAAAACGTAGGGGCATAAAAAATCAACCACAAAACTGTTGGGATATAATTAGCAGCAGCAAAAACTTTACATTTTATAACAACAGAAACAATTTTTTTTTGTATATATGAATGAAAGCTATTAAGTAACTGTTTATAAGATGAATTGCTGTATGGCATTTACAATATCACCATTTAATGGTTACTGGACATTTACGATTATGTTTCTTACACAATGTTGATTAAACATACTATTAATAATTTGTTTTTAGTCCAGCAGAGAAGAAGCATGCCAGGGTCAAAAACTGGACAAAGAAAGTGGATCTCTTTGAGAAAGACTTCATTTTTGTACCAATTAATGAACAGTGAGTGTCAAATATTACCAGTAATCAGAGTGCTACAATTTTTGTATAATTTCAGTCATCCTGACACTTATCCTTCAAATGCTTTTAAAACTTACTGATAAAGATTACATTTTTGGGGGGGGGAAAAGAGATCAAATATTCAAATTGCAGTAAGAATTTTTGTTCTTTTGAATATAAATACAAAATCAGACAATACTAGACCAATATGTTACAAATGTTGTGGAAAGGAGAATAAAAAGATCAATTTTTGATAACAAAAGTTATTAGTTATATTGGAAAATAATTCAAAGATATTGATTTGTTAAAAATTTTTCCAACTCTTGCTATTTTTCATGCAGTTCTCATTGGTTCCTGGCTGTGATTTGCTTCCCTGGACTTCCCAGTGCCAAACGTGTAACTTACGTACCAAAGTCAGCCAGAATGGTAACACCACCGACAATAGGACCAGAAATCTCTCCTCTAGACCCCAAGTCAAAAGAGGACGGGGGCGCAGGAAAGGAACCAGTCAAATCAGAAGGAGGAGGACTAGAAAAGGAACCAGTCAAATCACTTAAAGGCTATCGAATTCCAAAGGTTGTAAAAAACAGTGAACCGGTCAGTGAAAGTGGTGACGGATCAGTGAAGGGGGTACCTGATGATGAGAACAGCAGTGAGAGTGGGAAAAGTGCAGAGAGTGGGAAAAGTGCTGCAGAGGCGATGGAGACAGAGGAAAATTCACTATCAGAGGGACAGGTGAGCAGTGGGGTAGTTTTTTTTTTTTTTTGGAAGAACAGAATAACAATGAGCTGGACTTGTAGAATGATATGAGATTTCCATGATGCACAGCTAAAACATTTCAAGATTTTTTAGTTTAAAATTACATGTTTACAAAATAAGGCTTTTAATTTTTAACTGACTTATAAGTGGCATTTTAAAACTAAATGATCACTTTGTGAAGAATTTTTTGGGGGAGGGGAGTATTGAAGTGTGAATTGATAAAAAAAAAATATTTATATTCCTTCAGTACTGTAGATCACTTAATTTTCGCGACACCTTATTTTAGCGAGATAGTTATCGACTCTTTATTAGCGGGACAAAATTTTCACGAATTGTGGTCATTGCTCTATGTATTCTTAAGGAATTTTATCATACGCGAGAATGAAATTTTCGCGAGCATACCGTCTCGCGTAATTACGCCAAAATAAAGTTCTCGCGAATAAAAAGTGATTTACAGTATAATTGAAATGATTTTACAAATAAAAATGGTCAATAATTTTAGTCAACTTTTCTCTATGCACAGAAAAAAGAAATAGCTGAGGATTCAGAAGAAATGATGGACACAAGTGAAAGTCCTGCTCAGTCTGAAATGGAGGAAAGTCAGGCAGAGACAGAGAAATCAAAGGACCCGTCTGATACCAGCTCACAGGACACAGGCAAAAGTGAAAGTGAAAGTAAAACGGAAACAAGTAGCCAAGCCAAAGCCAAACCATCAAAACCTGTCTTCAGAGCCACTGTGAGGGTAAGTCTTTGTGTACATAAAGTTAATGTAAATGTTCATTGATGTAAATGGCTGAGATACATTTGTATTTTGTAAGAAAAAGGAACTGTTTGTAGTGAGATTGTGGTCAAATACTGAATGGAAATTTCAATTAATAAGAAACGGTTTTAAATTAAAATTGTCAGTTGCTTATCAGAATACAGAAGTTCATTTGTAACAAATGTTATTGACTTACTCACTGTTAACTCTTTGTAATCCTTTGCCTATATTGTAGGATCTGCGGGGACGAGAGGTAACGGAAGAGGAACTGAAAGATCCAGCTCTCTGGGAACTTTTATTACAGGCTGTAGACAGTAAGTCATTTGTATTACAAGCTAAAGACACTAGACAGTGGTTATCCCCAGCAATATACACTAGACAGTGGTTCTACAAACTATAGACACTAGACAGTGGTTCTACAAACTATAGACACTAGACAGTGTTTCTACAAGCTATAGGCACTAGACAGTGGTTCTACAAGCGAAGACACTAGACAGTGGTTCTACAAGCTACAGACACTAGACAGTGGTTCTACAAGCTATAGACACTAGAGAGTGGTTCTACAAGCTACAGACACTAGACAGTTGTTCTACAAACTATAGACACTAGACAGTGGTTCTACAAGCTATAGACACTAGACAGTGGTTCTACAAACTATAGACACTAGACAGTGGTTCTACAAGCTGTAGACTCTAGACTGGTTCTACAAGCTATAGACACTAGACAGTGGTTCTACAAGCTGTAGACTCTAGACTGGTTCTACAAGCTATAGACACTACATGAGTGGTTCTACAATCTAATGAAGCTATAGACACTAGACAGTGGTTCTACAAGCTACAGACACTAGACCGTGGTTCTACAAGCTACAGACACTAGACAGTGGTTCTACAAGCTATAGACACTAGACAGTGGTTCTGCAAGCTGTAGACACTAGACAGTGGTTCTATAATCTACAGACACTAGACAGTGGTTCTACAAGCTATAGACACTAGACAGTGGTTCTACAAGCTATAGACACTAGACAGTGGTTCTACAAGCTATAGACACTAGACAGTGGTTCTGTAAGCTATAAACACTTAGACAGTGGTTCTATGATCTATAGACACTAGACGAGTGGTTCTACAAGCTATAGACACTAGATGAGTGGTTCTACAAGCTATAGACACTAGACAGTGGTTCTACAGACAATATTTGTTCCTTAGCTATATACAGTAGTTTTACTATAAGCTATTTATATTGGAAATCCAGTTGGCAATCAAAGTAAAGTAAAAATTCTGATTAAAAATCTGCTTTTATAAGATAGACATACATCCCAGCAATGGATAGACACCAGAAAAATTATATGTCAACATGTTCACTTTTCCGCTATAGCCTATCGGAGTATATACCCAGAAATGTAAAATACTGAAATTTTACATATCCTAGAATTTGTTGTATATAAATTAATTAAGTCTAAATATTCAACTTTAATACCCAAAATAGAGTAGAAACATGTTATTAAACAATAAAATATCATTGTTTTGCATGAATTATTATAAATAGATGCACTTTGTTAGGCTATTGTATCAAAATTTAATGTGAGAAAATATGCTTCCCAGGACAATTTCGGTCATTTAAAAAAAATTATGGACTCAAACTTCGTAAATTTGCATTATTTTTACTTAATTATATTTAAGAAAAATAATAAGCTTAAAAAAAAATATGCTGACGCATTACTTTTCATGGTATGAGCTCTACACTAAAGGTACCCCCCTATTTTCTTTCTTCCAGAAGTAATGTATTGCCACATATTTCTGTAATACTGTTAATGTTTGAGTGTATACTTGTATTAACAAGCTTGTACATTATTTAAAACAATAATTATACACACCCAAAACCTATTGTCCCTAAAAGTCATCTTATTTTACTCGAAAAAAAAAAAATAAAACACACTTGACTTTAAATTGGAGACGATGAAAATGAAAGTAATTCACTGATTCTCAGAAACTTGATGATTTTGTTACAGAAAGTAACAAAGTATGCTGCAAGTGAATCAACTTTTGTCAAATACTTATTCAAAAGATAATTTTGCATTGGGGTTCGTGGGTAAGCAGGTTGGGGGAGGGGGGTATGTGTTTTATGCAATTATTATTATTCAAAGTAAATTTTGTAATGTTTGATTAGTAAAATCCATAAATTTTGTAAGTCACATCGCAGTCATTTCTTTTCTTCCGAATTATCACTATTAGCTTCAACTTGGCCGCCGACAATAGTCGCCTCGATAGTTTGATACAGTCATGTTCTGATGTAGCATGTATATGGTCCGTGTTTTCGCATATCAAACATACATCATTCACAAAAATATCGTTATTATTAACTAATTTCTGTCAACCGAAAGTTGTTCCCAGTCGTTTTCTTTTTAATTAATTTATCCTTAAACTGTACAATATGTGTTTGTTGACGCGACCGAGCAAAATCGTTACCGGATATTTAAAACGCTAAGTAAAAGTCAAACCAATATAGTTAAAAACTCTCATCTCGGAAAAAGGATGCGCGATTCCGGTTTTACTATTCGTAAATGACGTAGTGCGAATATAGACCTACTTTAAGGTACATCAATTAATTTTGAAATATCTAGTTAGTATCATCTTTTCTATCTGAAGAATAAACCATAAATCATAGATTTTATTTTTTAATGAATTGATAATGTTTTTGTTAGCAATGGTATGTCCTAGCGGCGCAACCTCGAACACGACGTTTTTGCGACCAATGTGTAACTGATAAAAAACTCTTTTGATATGAACATTTGACATTATTTAATCCCGTTAATTCAGGTATGTGTAGGTACACATTTTCTCCATGAAATATGACATTTTCACTTCATTTTGTAAGTTCTATGAAATTATATCGTAAATTTTAAATGGAAGGTCCAAATACTAGTTAAGCATGTATTTCTTAATAGGTAAATTACAGTGAAAATAGATCAAAATTGACCCGGAGCAAAGAGAACACATTTCTTAGTGATGCAGTAAGCATTTAATACAAACAAAAACCCTCTTTTAAGAACTTTTTTGCCATGCAAGAGTAGGTCCAGTTTGACATTTTAAAGGAAGGTATAAGTGGGAAGTCGGGAAACAGGGTATGTCTCATTGACCACTAGTGTTTATTTACATACATTACTACATTTTTAATAAAATCTGAAAACGAGGAGAAGTCGTGTGAGCATCTGTATCAGTATAAGATAGGAAACACATACTAGTATTACATGTATATGGTTCCTCATCTTCGCTTTCATAACGAGGGTTACTCTGGATACAAAAAGGATATCACCTGAATGTAATTTAATACATTTATTTTGAGTGCTGCTTTAAGAGAAGACCAGTTATTTGAACAAAGGTAAGAAGATAAATGTATCAGATCTTGCATGTATGCTTTGTTTTTGGTGATATTTTCTGAGTAATATTACTAGATATTAAACTACCTTCTCGTTCTTTTTTCAACTGAGTGTCATCTTCAGCTTCTGTTTGCATGTCCGACGCTTCTTCCTCTTTTGATAATTTCTTTGGCTTTCGTAAAATCATCTGTAAGTTAAATAATGACTGAAAAGAAACACAGGATGGGCATATTATTTCTCTGGTAAATTAAAATGAAGAACCAAGTTTAGGAAATATTCTTTTAAAAACCACACCCGATTGAAATAAAACCGATCTCGATCGAAAATAATTCAAAACTTGTAAAGTTATCAAACTAATGTCAACTGCCACTTATAAAACAAGTATAACAATATAGTAAGTTTTGAACTATAAAAGCGCCAAAGAAGTCGGTTCATGTTATGCATAAAATGGCCCTGTAGAAATACCAATTAATTGATCAACACTTGTTTTTCTATTTGAAGCATGAAAATAAAATAGAAACTTGGTTCTTTCATATCCTATTAAAAAAATTCTTCACTAAGTCCAGGTCTTGGAGAAGTGGCTTTATGAAATTGCAATGTTTTTGAATTTTTAGGAAAACATGTATAATTGAGTACTTTCAGTGAAGAAAAATAATTTGAGCGCACCCTCTGATCTACATGTAAAAAATAAAACATGTCCATGAATCCTCAGAAACAGTTTTATCATTTACTAGTTGCATATTTTAGATCAGAGGTTGCGCTCCATATCAAATATCAAAAAATATCTTTAAAAATTGGCCGTTTTTGTAGACTTTATCTGAATATGAGGAAATTGACACATTTCGTGACGTCATAATACATTGACTAGCCAGAAAATGACGTCATTCTTTATAGGATCGGAGTCACCAAAGATCTAAGTGATATTTTACTGCATTGTTAACTAAAAGTATGCGGTTTCAGTTTTTCAGAAATTCACAGGGCCAAATAAGGCAAAAGTGAAGCTTGTTCTTTAACAATACAATAATAGTATTTTCGTTTTTACATAATTCTGATTAGGATCGGTTTAATTTGGTAAAAATCGTAGATAATAGGTGAATTTGACTCTTTATTTCCCTCAATATACATGTACCTTTATCACCAATTTTATGAGGTGACTCATAAATTTGTACTTTGTATTCATAATAACATGAGAAAAAAATTCTGTCATAATAAAGTATTGGATTTCATAACGTTTCAAAATTCGGATACTGAATTCAAAAAGTCACTTGCTATAAAACTCAATTTTGGACCACAATATTTTTTACGAAAAAAAATAAAATTTGGAGTCTTATTCATTATAAATTGAAAGATAAGCGTCTTTACTATAAATAATATTGATTGACATATCTAGCTTTTGAGTTACATATTTAAAAAAAATTAAAACGTAGTATTTTTTATACCTTTATGTTGATCTTTTTGCACTAAAAATTAGACATTTACCAAAAATAGGGTTACAGGACCACTAAAATTTTTTTTTGATGTTGTCATGTGAAAACACTTGCTTAAAAAGATCTACATGCAAAAAATAATTAAAATCCATGACACCCCATGTGCCACCTATTGCCTGGTTTTTCGGTGGACTGCCTCTAAATATGATTACACGTTGTATTGCTTAAACGGATCTGAAATAAATAATGTAAAATCAATGAATCATTAATTACAGGTCACTGTTCTAGTTTCATTCACTATTAATAAAATCAAATGCTTAGGAAAAAAGAATTTAAATATGCATTACTTCAAATTTGTTAAAGAAAAATTGTAACATCTTTCAAAACTGTAAATATGGATATATGGAATACTGCCTGTTTCTATAGATATGGATATATGGAATAACTTGTTTTACTGTAGATCACTATATTTTCGCGACACCCCATTTTTTTGCGAGATAGTCATTGAGTCCTGATAAGCGAAACAAAGTTTTCACGAATTGTGCATGGTGATTGCTCTATATAATCTTCGAGAATAGTAATTATACGCGAGAATTAAAT